TTTTGTTTTGTTTTTGTTTTTTGTTGGGTTTTGGGTTTTTTTTTTTTAATCTGCGACATAATTTGAATATAAGATACGTAGATGAAATATTATGGATGCCAGATTCAGAAGAAAAAACTGGAAATCTTAGACAAAAAGTACTAAAAGCTCCGTCGTTACGGCCTTCTTTATGACCTCAACGCCTTCACACACACACACACACACACATATATATATATATATATATATATATATATATATATATATATATATATATATGTCATGCAGTGTTGATTCCTATGTCTACACGGTTTAAATACGTAAATGCTCTATCTCCGATACCGAGCGCCTTTCTTCTCTAAATATAGCAAATCTTAAACAATATAAGTGCGTGTGTATATGTAAATGGAAATTTGGATCGGAATTCGACAGAATGATGGGATAAGAAATAAGTAAAAAACGTTTATGAATCTAACATGTTTCGCTGTCATTAAGGCTTCAGCAGAGAATGAAATATGGCGGGGTAAAAGAAAATTCTGCTGTTTTTAATTTTTGTTTTGTCAAACAATTTTTTTTTTTTTTGAGACTACCGTCCAAGCCTTTAGTACTATAACCAATTCATATGTACGGTTCGTCTGAATGTTCTTTTCTGAGAACTGAACTACTGAACCTTCATATGACGAAAAGACATGCGATTTTATATATATATATATATATATATATATATATATATATATATATATGTTTTGAACAATAAAAATATTAAAAAATTAAAATCTTCAGACACATTGGGTTGTATATTAATATTAATTCGTTTTTATGATTTCAGTTAGATTTCTCGACTAGTTTCGGCCAGCATGGCCATCATCAGGAGAAAAAATGCCTGCTTGTTAAGATCAGTGAACTACAGAAATGAATGAGTTGATGGAGAAAATGAACTTTTGTCTGTATTTCCCATTTGTTTTTTTTATTTTTTTAACATGAATTTTGGTCAGTCCTTGTGTTGGTCAAAAAGTTCCTTTTAAGTTGTTATTTGAGATAAGAGCTGGATGGATTCATTCTGCTCTGAATTCCCTTGGTCATTTTGACAGTTTTATTGGTTCCTGGAAAGGGGATGCGTCTCTGTTAAGTGTGTGTGTTATTTGACTCTAAGGGAGGGAGTGATTATGAT